TGCAGTCCCTCCCTTTCCAACTGGTGACTCAGCACCTTTCCGCGAAAATGATGGCTTGTGCCCGCCGCGGGTGAGAGTGCCAAGCCGTCAATTTCTTTGCCCAAAAGGCAGTGCCAGCCCAGCATTCACATGTAGAAGAGATGGGTGGGCCAGTCCTTTGAGCATGACGGTCTCTGCCAAGTGCACGGCAGCGCCGACGTGTTGAGCCTGTCAACTACGGTCCGGGACAGTACATGTCATTTACGGCCCCTGGGGAACTTGGTGGCCGGTGCACAGCCGCACGCAGCAACTTGGACAGGTCACGACGCTTTTGCCTCCACGTTTGCACGTCCTTGGTCCAGCAAGCATGTCCTCCTCTACCAACTCGTTTTTCCGCCGTGTCCTCATGCCGCCACCCCCCGTGCCAAGTCCCATTACCCGACCGGCCATATCACATGTGGGTCACTGGCGCAAACGGTGTCACCTGTGCTGCATCCCTGGTAATGCCTTGGCGACAACGTAGTCACACAGCTGTGTGCTGTGCCGCGAGTGCGTGAGTTGTAATGAACATAAAAATTTCTCGACAGATGGCTGGTCTCCGCGCAGACTAAAAATCGGAACCATGTTATTCCAACTGACAACGGAAAGAACATGGAGTCACTGCTGAATGCGTTCAAGGACACCCCATTGTGCCATGCGCCAATTGCCACTGGCCCTCACTTCTTCAATCTGAATTTGTCAAGCATGGTTAACCCCTTTAAAATCCACCATCCCAACTGCAACAAGACATCCTTAAAGGCGATGAGCGCACGTAGAAACTGTGCAAATGTTGCTTTCACCATTCCTACACCGCAAAGAACACCCTCATGAGCTGCACCATCGCAGTCGCAGAACGGAAATTCCACAGCACGTCCCTGATCTTGCGAACTTTGTCGTAACAAGGGTGGAATTCAACACTACAACACATGTTAAACCTCGCCTAAATTACGAGCAGGCGAAGCAAGGCCATCAAAACCGATTTCCTGATGTTACAAGCGTATTAAGGGTATACTCCCCTTGTCACAAACCCTTAACTTAGCTAGCATGCAAATAAATCCCATTGGCAGCTCATGCTGACACTCTGCCGCTTGCTCAGGCCCCCTTTGAGAGGCCACGCTATTCGTGATCTTCCCAGTACTATGGGGATGAACGTACTTCCCTCAATTCCTCTGTTGCACGTCCTTAGGAAACTCCACCAATGCTGTTTAACAATGCTGGTCAGGGTGCGGTATATACGTGGCCCACAGATGTTCAACAACCCAACACAGCAACCCCTGTGGGTGGCAGAACAGGAAGAAGAGGAGGAGGTAGAGAGAGGACAGTTGTGCTCAGGAATTAATTGAGTGAAATGGTGTTTTTTTTCCACTCATACGAGCAGGAGTGGAGGAGCAGAGCATCTGGAAGAGGAGGACAGGAGGAGGAACAGCAGTGACGCCATACGCACCGTTGTCAGTATGCTGTGGATGATGGAGGGCAGGGAGTCCCCTCGCATTCCAGATTGGCATCCTCACAAATGGCACCATCTAGCATGCTCAGGTTGCTTTGCGTAGCACAGCCGAATACTAACCATCATACTAGATAGGGATCCTGACTTATTGGCTGTCTCACACCGTGTTGGACCCTCGCTACCTGTCCATCCAAAATGGTGCCTTTTTCACACCTGCTCCAGAGGTAAGGCCAAAAATTACGTACTCACTAAAAAACCGACCTATGTAGTCAGTTGAAACTCTGCCTTTGTGCCCAACATTCTCCATCCCCATCTCACACTGTGGGCCCCTGTGCGCTTCACGCTCTGCCATCCGCTGGCATAGGCCTCAGGGCAATGGAGGTGTGGGTGGTAGGAGCAGTATACTCAGGGCTTCCACCAGCAGTGGGCTTGCCTCATTCTGCATCCCCTCGATGATGAGTAGCTTTTTTTTCTTCAATCCAGCAGCAGTGATGAAACAAGACTAACGCTCGACCCGCATGCAGTCAGCATTCCACATCAGGTGGACCTTGATCAGGCACTCTCATTTTTAACAACAGCTTGCAAATAGGCCTACTTGGCCACAGCCCTGGCTTCCACCGAGTAGAACAATCCCCTTTACTACTCGGCAACGAAACTTGAACCTTTGGCCCCAACTAGCTGAATTTCCCTTGAAAGGCTGACCCCCATGCCCCCCCTGCCATACGTGGCATCAGGAGCGCGTGTTTAGTGACGCAGGAGTCATTTGTAACTCCGCGGCAGGACACGACTGTCACACCCAAATGTGGAGAGACCCTCACCTCATCCTGTAAAATGAATCAGGCGTGGATTAGTCTTGATTATCAAACCATTCTCAGTTTCCTGACACAACTCGACTAAATCCACCATGAATCATGGCCCCAAACATTTATTATTTTGACAAAACATAGTCCTCTGTATGCCTTCAATTTAACTGCTTACGCTTCGCCACTCTGCCATGGGCCCCTGTAAACCGACTCACTCATGCTGCACCAAGTCGCAAGTCTGTCATGGGTCCCTGTACGGCCCTCTCATTGCGCTGACCTCCAACGCCACACTCCTGCTGCCATGTCCACTTTCAGGTCTCTTGCACACTGCTGGTGTGTTTAAATTTTTGACAATAGGTTGCAGGCAATTTAAGGCCTCACATAGCTAGCTGCCAGGCCCCTAATCTGCCATGGCCCCTATATACCGCCTCCTCATGCTGCTGCCAAGCCATAGTCGTCATGGTCCCTTAAGGCCTCCCATTGCTGCTTCTCCATCGCCAACTCTGCCTGCCATGTCACTTTCAAGGTCTCTTCACACTGCTGGTGTGTTTAATTTTTGACGATAGTCAGCAGATTACGGGCCTCACATACTGCTGCCAGGCCCCAATCTTCCATGGGGCCCCTATATCCCCCTCCTCATGCTGCTGCCAAGTCCAGAGTCCTGTCATGGGGTCCCTGTACGGCCTCCATTTGCTGCTGTCTCCATCGCCACACTCTGCTGCCATTGTCCACTTTCAGTCTTTCACACTGCTGGTTGTTAAATTTTTTGACATAGGTGCAGGGCCAGATTACGGGCCTCCACTATAGCTGCTGCCAGGCCCTAATCCCATGGGCCCCCTATATACCGCCTCCTCTGCTGCTGGCCAATTCTAGAGTCTGTCATGGGTCCCTGTACGGCTCCATTGCTTCTGTCTTCCATCGCCACACTCTGCTGCCATGTCCACTTTCAGGTCTCTTCACACTGCGAGTGTGAGTGAGTGAGAGACGAGCTTTTGACATAGGGTGGCAGGCAGATTACGGGCCTCACATAAGCTGCTGCCAGGCACCCTTAATCTAGCCATGGGCCCCTATATAAGAATAACCATATACCGCCTCCTCATGCGGCTCGCCAAAGTTCCAGATATACCCTGGTCATGGTCCCGTAAAGGCCTCCCATTGCTGCTGTCTCCATCGCCACAAGATAACTCTGGCTATGCCATGTGCACACTTTCAGGTCGTCTTCAACACTGCCTGGTGTGTTAAATTTTTGTATGACATAGGGTGCAGGCAATTTACGGGCCTCATATAGCTGCTGCCTAGGCCCCTAAATCATGCCATGGGCCCCTATATACCTCCGCCCTCCTCATGACTGCTGCCAAGGTCAAGAGTCTGTCCTGGGGTCCCTGGAACGGCCTTCCACATTTATGCGGTCTCCAATCGCCACAAACTCTGCTGCCATGTGCCACCTGCAGATCTCGATTCACACTATCTGGTGTGTTAAATTTTTCTGACAATAAGCGGTGGCAGGGCAGATTACTGGCCTCACATAGCTGCTTCCAGCCCCGAATACTGCCATGGGCCCCTATATACACGCCTTCTCATGCTGCTGCCAAGTCTAGAGTCTTCCTCCATGGGTCCCTGCTACGGCCCTCCTCATTGCTCCTGTCTCCATCGCCACTACTCTGCATGCCATGTGCCACTTTCATGTCTCTTCACACTGTCTGGGGTGGTAAATTTTTTGACATAGGGTGCAGGGCAGATTTACGGCCTCACATAGCTGCTTGCCAGGCCCCTAATCTGCCATGGGCCACCACTATATCACCGCCCTCCTCATGCTGCTGCCAAGTCCAGAAGTCTGGTCATGGGTCCCTGTAAGGGCCTCCCATTGCTGCTGTCATCCCATCGGCCCCAAACTCTGCTGCCATTGCCACTTTCAGGTCTCTTCACACTGCTGGTGTGTTTAATTTTTTGACATAGGGTGCAGTGGCAGATTACGGCCTCTCACATAGTCTCTGCCAGCCCCTAATCTGCCATGAGGCCCCTATATACCCGCCTCCTCATGCTGCTGCCAAGTCTAGAGTCTCGCATGGGTCCCTGTACGGCCTCCCATTGCTGCTGTCTCGCATCGCCACACTCTTGCTGCCATGTGCCACTTTCAGTCTCTTCACACTGCTGGTGTGTTAAATTTTTTGACATAGGTGTGCAGCAGAATTACGGGCCTCAAACCAAACATACTGCTGCCAGCCCCTAATCCTGCCATGGGCCCCTATATTACCGCCGCCTCATGCTGCTGCCAAGTCCATAGTCTGTCATGGTCCCTGTAAGGCTCCCATGTGCTGCTGTCTCCATCGCCACACTCTTCTGCCAGGTGCCACTTTCAGGTCTCTTCACACTGCTGGTGTAGTTTTAAGTTTGTTGACATAGGTGCAGGCAGATTACGGGCCTCACATAGTCTGCTGCCAGGACCCCTGAATCTGCCATGGGCCCCTATATATCCGCCTCCTCATGCTGCTGCCAAGTCTAAGAGTCCTCTCATGGGTCCCCTGTTACGGCCTCCCCATTGCTGCTGTGTCTCCATCGCCACAACTCTGCTGCCATGTGTCCACTTTCAGTCTCTTCACACTGCTGGTGTGTTAAATATTTTTGACATAGGGTGCAGGCAGATTACGCGGGCCTCACATAGCTGCTGCCAGGCCCTAATCTGCCATGGGCCCCCTATATACCGAGCCGCCTCATGCTGCTTGCCAAGTCTAGAGTCTGTCATGGTCCCTGTACGGCCTCCCATTGCTGCTGCTGTCCTCCATCGAGCCACACTCTGCTCAGCCATGTGCCCACTTTCAGGTCTCTTCACACTGCTGGTGTGTTAAATTTTTGACAGCCACTAGGTTGCAGGCAGATTACAGGCCTCACATACTGCTGCCAGCCCCTAATCTGCCATGGGCCCCGTATATACCGCCTCCTCAATGCTGCTGCCAAGTCTAGAGTCTCTCATGGGTCCCTGTACGGCCTCCCATTGCTGCTGTCTCCATCGCCACACTCTGCTGCCATGTGCCACTTTTCAGGTCTCTTCACACTGCTGGTGTGTTAAAATTTTTTTGACATAGGGTGCAGGCAGATTACTGGCCGTCACATAGCTGCTGGCCAGGCCCCTAATCTGCCATGGGCCCCTATATACCAGAACCGCCTCCTCATGCTGCTGCCAAGTCTAGAGTCTGTCATGGGTCCCTGTAACGCCTCCCATTGCTGCTGTCTCCATCGCCACACCTCTGCTGCCATGTGCCACTTTTCAGGTCTCTTCACACTGCTGGTGTTGTTAAATTTTTTTGACATAGGGTAGGCTTGGCAATACGGCCTCACACATAGCTTGCTGCCAGCCCCTAATCTGCCATGGGCCCCTATATATACCGCCTCCTCATGGGCTGCTGCCAAGTCTAGAGTCTCTCATGGGTCCCTGTAACGCCTCCCATTGCTGCTGTCTCCATCGCCACACTCTGCTGCCATGTGCCCACTTTCAGGTCTCTCACACTGCTGGTGTGTTAAATTTTTTGACATAGGGTGCAGGCAGATTACGGCCTCACATAGCTGCTGGCCAGGCCCCTAATCTGCCATGGGCCCCTATATACCGCCTCCTCATGCTGCTGCCAAGTCTAGAGTCTGTCATGGGTCCCTGTACGCCTCCCATTGCTCTGTCTCCATCGCCACACTCTGCTGCATGTGCCACTTTCAGGTCTCTTCACACTGCTGGTGTGTTTTAAATTTTTAGACATAGGGTGCAGGCAGATTACTGGGCCTCACAAGTTAGCTGCTGCCAGGCCCCTAATCTGCCATGGGCCCCCTATATACCGCCTCCATCATGCTGCTGCCAAGTCCCAGAGTCTGTCCATGGTCCCTGTATGGCCTCCCATTGCTGCTGTCTCCATCGCCACACTCTGCTGCCATGTGCCACTTTCAGGTCTCTTCACACTGCTGGTGTGTTAAATTTTTTGACATAGGGTGCAGTCAGATTACGGGCCTCACATAGCTGCTGCCAGGCCCCTAAATCTGCCATGGGCCCCTATATAACCGCCTCCTCATGCTGCTGCCAAGTCTAGAGTCTCTCATGGGTCCCTGTACGGCCTCCCATTCTGCTGCTGTCTCCATCGCCACACTCTGCTGCCATGTGCCACTTTCAGGTCTCTTCACACTGCTGGTGTGTTAAATTTTTGACATAGGGTGCAGGCAGATTACGGGCCTCACATAGCTTGCTGCCAGACATGTAATCTGCCAGGCCCCCGTACCGACTCCCTCATGCTGTGACGTTGCAACAAGGTGTAATTTCAACCCTACATATTTAGAACCGCCTTTACGAACAGACTAAAGGCCATCACAGATTTCCTGATGTTAATAAAAGCGGATAAAGGTACTCCCTGTGTAACTTAGATGTTCAGCCATTGTCTCCTCATGTGTGACACCTGCGCTTGCTCAGGCCCTTTGAGGAGGCCACCTATTCGTGAGTCGGCAGTGACTATGGATGAATGAGTCCAAAATCGGCCATGGGGCCCCCGTACCGCCTGTTCACGCTGATGCTGGTCCCACAGTGTGACCTGGGTCCCTGTACGGCCTCCCATTGCTTCCACTCTGCCATGTGCCACTTTGAAATCTCCTCACACTCCTGCGGTTGTCCATTTTGTCATAGAGTTGCTGCAGATTACAGGCCTTCCATAGTGCCACCAAGCCCCCATATCGGCCATGGGCCCCCGTACCGCCTGGTCACGCTGCTGCTGGGGGCCCATAGTGTGACCCTGGTCCCTGTACCGCCTCCCAGTTGCTCCCACTCTGCCATGTGCCACTTTCAGGTCTCCCACACGCTCCTGCTGGTTTCCATTTTGTCATAGGTTGCTGTATGGCCTCCCATTGCTGCTGCCCTTTCCACCGCCACACGTGGCTCCAACACTGGTTTTGGCCCCGTGACTGGCCAATAGGAGTGAAGTGTGCAGTGATTCTAAAGATTCGACGGCACTCATCTGCATTCATACTGACAGACAGTATTATTTCTCTTCCCCAGCAGACTCCAAGCATTTAAATTAAAGGTACAGTGTTCTGCACTAATATTAAGTCTCTCTGAAGCCTAAGAAACACGCCTTTTTTAAGTTTAAAGTCACAGCGAATTTATTCGACTCGAATCAAATATTGTCCACGAATTCGCCGAATCAGTCGAAATCGAGATTTTTCATTTCTTCGCTCAACTCTAGTGTGAACCTAGACTAAATGCCTCAGTTAGTTTCTGAGGAGAATCTTTTAAATATTGGCAGAAGTAACTGGTATACTTGTTCTCTCAACACCACTCTTAGCAGTTTTAAATCTTGAAATAGACAAATATCTTGTCTATGCACCCAGTTACTCATGTACTTTTGGCTGCCAGAATAACAATAAACAGATACTGAAAACAAACAATTGGTACCCAAATTCATCATAAACTGTTGAGCTGATTTAAAACTCATATACTTACATAAAATGAAAAATAATTCCTGAAATTAAAAACAACCCCTGATAATAAAAAATATGCAAATCAATTTGATATGCAAAATTGTTCTTGAGTTATTGTTAAATCAACATTTTCCTTTGCTGTTGTTTACAGAAATGTCTGCCAAATATGAGCTATTCATGTTGTATGCAACTCACCACTGCATGACCATTGAGCAAAAAACCCTTCAGTATGAGCTCAAGGAGTGGTTTTTTTTTTAAACCCTATTTTGCTTCACAGTTCTACCTTCTATGGAAGGTAAATCCAGGATGTCCACCATAGCCCACATGTCAAACCTACTTCTGCACTTTCTGAGACAGTGTCACAGCTTTATACATTAAGGGCTCGTTCACACTAGGCTGTTTTGCCAACGCTTGCCAAACGCCCCTATAGCTTTTGGCAAGCGTTGGTCCGGCGTTTGCGGAGCGTTATTAACGCTCGGCAAATGCCGCATGCGCGGTTTAGCGGCGGTTGCTAGGCGTTTGCCGAGCGCGTTAATAACGCCCCACAAACGCCTATAATGCAGTTTGAGTGGTGTTACCGCTCCGCAAACGCCCCGCAAACGCGTCGCAACCGCACCGCAAACGCCGGCCGGGCGTTTGCGGAGCGGCACCATAGACGAGAATAGGAGGCTTCAAAGCCTCCTGACTCGTCCAGAGGCGTCCGTTTTGCCGCGACGCAACGCGACGCGATGCAAACGCTCCCGTTAGAACAGCACCATGTGCTGTAATGTGCAGAATTGGCAGAGGCGTTTGGGAAGCGGTAAAAAACGCTTCCCAAACGCCTCTCTGCCGCCTGCACACAAGGCTAGTGTGAACGTAGCCTTAAGATTATGGAAATTGTACATGATGGCTTAGCTGTTGCCATCAAATTTGCATATCAGTATAAGCACTATGTAGTCTGCTTATGCTGAATATTTGGGGTTGTGAAGTAGTGTAGAATATCAGGGGTACCACTATGTTTAAACATTTGGTAAATGCAAAGGTTCCCTGTAGTTAAATTGTCATACTGCAACATTTGGTCTGTTCATGAAGGTTGCAGTTACCCATAGACATGAAAGGGGTTTAAAAGATTCTACTCATAAAATGGAAACTAGTTGTGTACTTTCCATGTCTGATATTTTATTTTGCTATAACAGTTCTGGAGCTCCAGAACACTTTAGTTTAAAGGGGAAAATGTAAAGTAAGCTGCAGACTGAGTAATTTACACTCAACACAGCTTTGGAAGGCTTTTCCTTGAAGTTTAGTCACTTTGCTATACAAACACTCGTGAAGGAACCAAGAAAACTGGATCCCTGAATTTTAAGGAGAGCAAGAAACATTTTTGTTTTAAACTTGAGAGCAGCAAAAGCTTGCAGTACTTTTTTTTTTTGCTATGTTCTACCCATAGCGACTACAAAGCTATTTTCTTATTTCAGTGGGGAAAAAATGATTTAGGTATCTTGTTTGAATCAAAAAATGTGCTTGGTAGCATCAAAACACTTTTGTATATAAGGCATTAAACACCATTACCATTTGTAATCTGTAACTGTGGGTCATAAGTAGCAATCAAAACCAACAGCAGATAGTAAAATTTCCATTCTTGTAAATTCCAAGTGTGGATCTTCTCATGCTTGTTAAAAATAAACACTAATATTTGAAGTTTTATTTTTGTACTGATCTTCTGTATCTTGTGAACAAAGAGGAAGAACTATGCATATTTATGAAATCCATTATTTTATGCATCAATCTGAAACACATGTAATTGATCCTCACACATCGCCCACTCATCATTTAGACATCTGTAGCTGCACATAAGTGGAGATAAAGGCATAAGGGTAGAGACACTATGGAATTTTAGTACATATGGAGGTAGAGTGCACTTGGCAAGAGCTCTAAAAAGACATGAGGGTAACACACTGCCACTTTCAGCACTTAAATCCGCAGCTCACCTTTGGGAAATTTTTCTGTGCATTCAGGTTATCATAACAAGAACTGTGACCATATAATGAATTTTCCATAATGTAGGACATTAAATGAAAGCACAGAAACATGCATGTAAGGCAACAGGCAGTTATTATTTTACAGTATATCCCTATATGCAATTTACAGGAGTTATAAAAAAAGGAAAACACATAGAGCAAGGTAAACTAATCTTAGCATTCATTCATATAAATAACATTGCTGTATGGTCAAATCGCAGTGTTTTGCACACAATTTGCATGTTTATATATACAGCAGCCATATTAGAGTCTACATGTAATGCTCTGCTTAAAAAAAGTTGACGTGCATGCAGTTTAAGCTGTAAAATTACTTTAAAGGCTTAAAGGATAAGTTCACCTTTGGGAAAAAATCCCCCCGTGACTGCAGTACAGGGAGAAGTTCCTCATACTAGCTGTCCGTTTTTAAATACAGCATGGCCATGCTGGCCTCTGCCCACACGGCCGCGTCATTTGTTAACAGAGTTAGTGGCTGTCGGCTTGTAGTTCTCAATCAACTACCATGACACTGTGAGCACTGTGGTAGTTCATTGACCCAGGATGTACGAGCAAGCAGATATACCGACAATCTAAAGGAGACCTGCATAACACCAGTGATCTGCTGATCGCTGGTGCAATGCTTTCCAGGCTCCTACTATAAAAAATAATAAATGCACATTTTTTTACCTGCAAAAAAATGTGCATTTAGTATGTTTTATAAAAAGGTGAACTTATCCTTTATGGTCACTGCATTACAAGGTTTATAACAAGGGAACAACCCTTTTAGAACATAAAGTTTGTATAGTAAGAATGTTGTCATAGATTCCTACCTTTGGAAAATTCTTCTGTGCACTGAAGGGGCAAAACCAAATTCAGAGGGATATCGATAAAATAAAATGCAACACTTCAGTCGTCAATTGTACTGAAAATATGAAAGTAGGTACTGATAGTACTAAAAAAGGCAAGACGGAAATACAATAAAAGTATGTACCCTTTACTCATTCATATGGTGGGGACAGATATCTGAAGACCTTCTTATTCTAAAGGGGCTTCCCAGGGTAATTCCCCCTCTGAAGACCCCACATCCACTGGACCAGGGATGTAGGGATGAGGGCCTTGTCTCCATCAACATAGGGACATGTTGCCTAATGCAAGGTACAGTACCTTCCCCATGTTGAAAACATGTGATTTGCTGTGGTTTAGGAGGCCAGGGGGGATGTAAATTTGCCTCCCTCACCTTTCCTGGCCTACCAGGCTACATGCCTGGATAAGGGTATGATATGCATTTTGTAGCCTGGAGTCCTCCTCCAAATCCATACCAGATAGAGCTCTGGTACAGATTTGGGGGGGAAGGATCCTAAATAATTTTTTGTGGCCCAAGGTTCCCCTAAAAATCCATACCAGACCCTAATTAAGGCCACTGGTGTCATCCAAGATGCTTGCCAGCTTGTTTACAACCTAAAACAAGCCAACTGGCAGTGAGATCTTTGGTTGTTAGGAGGCTGGTGATATTGTGTGACCACTTGTGTCCTAGCAAGCAATGGTGCTTAGGACTCACACAGCATCAGTAGCTGCTATGATGCATGTGACTGAAACTTTACAACCCCATTAGTTTTTATGATGCAAGTGACAGCCAGCATCCCATCAACCAATGACAGGGGTGACCCTGAGAGGGA